GGGGGGGACATGGATGACACTCGTGACAATAACAGTCAAATCCAATATTGTGTGTAAAAGTTCTGAAGACTCCAGGAGAATCCCTTCAGGAAACATGGGGAACAGGAGGAAAGTAAGGGAGTCAGAAGCTGAAGGACATCAACAGGTGGTAGGATCCTGGGCTTAGAGGAAGGAAATAACATCACTCTATTGATAAGGACTAAGAAAAAAGACTTTTGAGTGTGTCAGAGATGGGACCTTAGACAGCATGGTGAATCCAGAGCATATCTTCATGAGTTTTACAGAACCTAACACAAAGCTGTCAGACTATTTGAAGCAGTCCTGTATCTCAGGCTGAGACTGGGTAGTCCTGTGTCTATAACCGTGGTCCATGCTGAGCTTCTTAACCTATCTGGAATAAAATCTGGTCCTTCAGATCCTCAAGTCACAGTCAACAATGTAATAAACCTAGATGGAATGACGCCTCTTTGTACCCTTGCACCTTGAAGCGTCATCCAGTCTCTTGCCTGTCTTCAGGCTGTCTCAGCTAGGTTGCAACACCGTCTCCATTTCTAACAGTTTCAGAGGCAATTCCTCAACTTTTGGCAGTCTGTCCTAGAGTTTCTGGAAATTCTTGACAAGGTCAACGAGAAGCTAGGCCCCTCTGACCCATAATTTCTAAGACGACATGCTTGGCAGGATGAGTAAAGGCTCAGTCGATAGGAAAAGTCAAGCCAGAGACCCCCCTTCTTGTGAAAAGTCAGAGCACAGGGTCACTAAAGCTGAAGCAAACAGGCTTGAGTCCCTCAGAGTGTGCTGGAGGCCTGGCTAGGAAACTGAAGACCTCTGTTCTACCCCCAAAACATCAAAAGCTTGGAGCACAAAGAAGCATCTGTGCCGCACCCCAAGAATAAGTGCCAATGACATTATTCATAAAAAATGATTGTTGTCAAGGTCTTGTCATTCGGATTTTTCCAACTTCTGGTACCCAGAACTGAGAATCCTTTAGACTACATACAGTGCTGAAAGACAAAGGCCATCAATTAACATCAGGCAAGCATGCTAAAAACGCAGTGGGATGGGAAAGACCCAGTAAGGATCCAAATGCATCCTTACTGTAGATAATAGGACAGCTTGCAGGGCTTGTAGGGAAGGGCTGAGGAATTAGGTTTCATCAGATTTCCAAGACTAGAAAGTTTGTCAATTGCTTATTGAGTTCTAGACGCTGAACTGGGTGGCAGAGCACGATGGTGCGTTTTCCTGAGCAAGAAACTGCCTCCTTCAGGAGGTTAGTGTGAGCAAACAACTATGAACAGCATGGAGGCAGCTAGCAAAGGCAGGTGTGTGGTGCTGCCAGCGGCAAGGGCCACTCATGTGAAAAGGTGGAAAGAGAAACATAAGAGGGACTAGCTATAGCCAGGAGCATGGCACTTGCCTGGAATTTGGCAGTTCTAGGGTAGATCACTAACACCAGAGAACAGGGAAAGAGAAACACAGAGTAACCTCCTGGAGCAGGTGCTGAGCTCGTAAATACTTCATCTGCACAACATGCCTAGGTGCACTGGCATTTGACAACAAACAGTCGGGAAGGGTAACTGTCCCCAGCCAATGACCTGAAAGGTCCATGCCATGATGTAATTTTCTGAGATGTGAATTTGAATGGGCTTCCAGAAGGCTAGACAGTCCATGTCAGCCATATATCCAGCCATATATCCAGCCATATATCCAGCCATATAT